GTTGCCAGTGCCTCCCCGCCGGCCCCCCCCCCCCCCCCGCCGCCGCCCCCCCCCCCCCCCCCCCCCCCCCCCCCCCCCCCCAGTCAGCTATACTCAAATCTATACACCATAGTTCTTTCGGATCAGAGTAGCCCGGCCCCTATATACCTACTATATCTCCTTAAACAGCATTCACGTTAATGGATTAATCCAAAGCACCCATGGCCGGGTTGACACGGTGGTACCTACAACTAATGCCATTGCTATAACTCTAGCGTTCTGAGTGAGCTCTAATTGAGGGTTCAATTTCCTTGTTGGTTCTATCACCTTTTTATAGATGAATGAAGATCTAAATAATTGTTGACAATATAGATCTCGTAGAGGCAGCAATGCAGTGATATCTAAACAACCTCCGAATTACTCTTGTGTCCTACATAGAGTAGGGCATACCAACAATATGAAGACAGTTGCTTCATTTGACATTATTTCAACTTATGAGCTTGATTAAGTCGACTAACGTGGAGTCAGGCTTGTTCATGGCCCCTTTATAATAATATGAGTCGTTCCTTAGTTTAGGTAGGAAATAACTTCGACCTCAGAGATATCAGCAATTACACTTATATTCGGCATGCTTCAAAGAAATTAAGTACCCGACAATACATTATTTGATATAGATACTCGTAAAGTCTTTGTACCTGAACCATATCGTTTCTCGGAATTACTCCTCCGCTAGCAACACGTATACAATCCAATGCAACCAATGACTTGCGCCAATATGTACCTCTCTCGGTCTACGCCAACGCGCCAAATCCCACCCCATTACCAAGATCCGCAACCAGGTTAGCCAACGTCAAAGTGAATCAAAACCTCTTAACAGCCCTCCTCCCAGTCTCAAAATCAAACCGATCCGGGAACAAAATCCCATTAGCCAGCCTCACCAGCTCCCTCTCGACCTTCCTCGTAACCCCCCTCCTCTCATCCCAGGGTAATAGCCCCATACTCCTAAGTCCGTCCTCGCCTCCGGCATCATTCACATCCTGAACTCCAGGCCGGCCCATATACTCCCTCTCGCCGCCCGACCCGCCTCGCAAGAAGCCAGCGCTACTCGCGAAGTCCGGCGCAGGGAGCCCGAGAAGGAAAGCCTTGCGCTGGCGCGCGAGATACAGCGCATTAGTCTGCGTCAGCGGACACGCGGGGACGTACAGCACGCTCGCGTCGCGCAGGCCCATATGCACGGTATCGACGGCGTGCACGGCATCCGGGTGCCACAGCACATAATCGCCCGGCTCGACGCGCGGGACGGGGACCATGGTCTTGTCCAGCCTTAAATGGGGATGCAGGGCGCGGCTCAGCTCCTGGACGCCGCGGCCGGGGACGGCGCCGTGGACGACGCTGTTCTGCGCCACGTTCAGGTTCCAGTTGTCCGCGTGCAGGAAGTTGGGCCCGGACTTGGCGCGCGGGGTGAAGAAGGGGCGCAGGAGCAGGTACGCGGTCGTGAGCTGCAGCATGGGGCACGCGTGCAGCGAGCCGGCGCCGGGTGCGATGGGAGAGAGTGATAGCCAGCCTTGGAACATCCGGAACATGCTGCAGGAGCTGACGCTGTTGTACAGGTCGGGTGTGACGCCGAGACGCGTGCTGCTGTCCCACGGGTCGTACTCTTCCCACCTGCCTTGGAAGATCTTGGCGTACGTGCCGGCGCGGCCGTACCCGTCTGCTTCCCACCGCTCGACGCTGCCGTTGTCGACGTGCGGCCCGGAGGCGAGGGATGTGTCGCCCGGTCTACGTATGCGGATGCGGTCTGCGTAGGTTACTGGGTGGTTGCTGCTCACGAGCGCGCTCTCGTTGTTTGAATGCCATATATTCATGACAAACCTCTGAACTTCAAGGAGCCGTGAGTCAGCGCGGGCGCGCACTTGCCCCGGACTCCAAAACATCTCATAAAGCTGGGGGTCGTGTGCTGGAAACCCCTTTGTCGGTGGATTGTGACGGAGATACTCTTGCGTCTCTTCTTTCCACAACAAGGCAACGTTTGACGGAACGACTCGCCGTATAACGGCGACGCCTCTCTTCCTCAGGGCATCTCGGAAGATGGCTACCTTGTTTGGATTGTGGATATCGATGTAGTCGATAGTAGGTATGATATCCGACCCAGCAGCGGCGATGCGGTCTGCCTCTTTTCTTAACTGGCTGAGGAGACGGTAGAATGAGCAAGCGACAGCTTTCTCGTTACCGGCGATTAGTTTTCGTTTGATCTTGGCGAACCGGTCTGGAAGTGGAATAGGATCCGGATCGTGTAGAGATAGGAAGTCAACTGCCATTACTACTTTATATAAGGCTTGATAAAGTCCTCGGGAGCTCTATGGGAAGTTCTTGGAAAGTGAATTTCACGTAGTAACATTAAACAATGAGTTCCTAGTTATCCCACCGGTATACGACAAAAGGACAGAGACCCAAGAACAGTTCCTCCAGCGATTATATGAAGGAGATCGATTATAAGTCCGTGGGGGCAGAAAAGCCCTCGTGGGGGGAATAGGCACTTGCTATTTTTCATTCCGATAGTTGATAGTAGCTCTTAAAGTATGTGATGTCTGGGTCGTTGAGGCTTGCATCGGTAAAACCAGGCCTTGACGAAGCGAAGACCCATGGTTGCGGTCTAGAAGGGAGCAAGGCGACTCAATCAGACGTTGTCACGTTGTTGGAGGTATAACTGCATCTGGTTTCCGGGTGGCTCAATCTTCGGCAAGGGACTCCGAAATAAAAGATCTCTTGGCTTGATACCCAAACCCTGGTTACAATTTACTAGAGCCGATACGGGTCTGATACGCTTCATAATTGGCCAGCCTAATGCGGCTCCTGGACGACGCTCCCGCGGGCCGTTGGACCGATCCCACGCTGACAAGGACATATTAATTCCATACGTGATAGACATAAAAGCCTCAGCCATTCCGAAGAAGGTCAGCATTGGGCGTAAACGAGCTCCAAGTTCACCGATGTGGCATTATATAATTCTCCGAATATTGTACGGGTCTTCCTGCATGGCTGTAAATTAAGAGACTGTTCCCGGTATCCCAGATTGAGTGTGTGTGGGTGGCGTCGGAATGCATAGGGATTCTTGGCAGATTACCCGGATGATGGACCTCAAGATACCTTGCCTCTCTTCGACCGGCGAAGAGGTGTTTGATGATCCGCACTATTACCGGAGTCGTTCTTCTTTCTCTTCGCCTGCTCGCTTGATGATTCTACTTTAGTAGGTTTTGCATCAGGTGTAGGGGATTCCTTTCTATCCGAGGATGTGATTTCTGACACGTCGTCTTTCATCAGGACGTAAGCCACTTTCTCAATATCGACGGCATTGATTCCTAGTCGCTGAATCAAAGAATGCGCCGCAGTGCCCAACTCCTGATACTCTTTGGCGTTGTACTTGATGGGAGAAGCCTGTCCACCCCGACACAGCCAATAGAAGGCTTCATCCGAAAAGAAGATGACGTTGTCAGGACCATATACTGAGAGCAAAAGAGATGCCGTAGCCGGACCAATTCCCTTCAGCTTACTGATCGTGATGAGCGCTTTCGGTGCATCTGAATTTTCCCGATATTTCTCTATCGCCTCTTGGATGGTTTTCTCAACAACTGTTTCATCATTTGATGACACGAGCTTCATGAGAGTTGGCCGAAACTTCCCATGACGCCTGAACTGTATTAGAAACGTGAATTGGGTTTACAGGCAATGGGATAAGACGCATAACATTGCCTTAGGAAACCACTTACAGTTTCCAATCGACCAAGGTTTTCACATTATCAAGCGTCATCGGCTGCCTCGTTTTCTCTGAGTGGAATAAAGTAATTGCGTCATGGTATCGGAAACGGTCCAACTCAAGCAGAGTCTTCTGTCCTGACTTGGCTGTTTATGATTATTAGTCATCCGGTCACCATTGTATCTGTTCACTTCTAACACCTACGCCCTTTGGTTAATGAGATGAACTCTATGAGAGAGTCATAGCGGCCCAATAATTGTTGAAACAATTTGAGGGAAATGTTGCTGGGCAGCAAGCTTTCGTCTAACATTCTGATTGTAAGACCTGAGTAAGATCTGATGATGAGGCTTCGAGCTAGATTCATCTAATGATCTGATCTGACTCGACCAGACCTAGACACTAGATACCAACGATGAGGTCAATGACAAACCGTTCAGCTTTTCGGGAATCATCGGGCTTGTTGTCATTCCTGAATTACATAATACCGTTTGTTCGTTTGTTTAGATCCATCTGAGGAATCCGGAATCAGATATTGGTGACTAATAAAATGGAGAAAATCCTTAGTCTGAGTGGTCCGTGCTTCTAGACAGAATTGTTCCAGAAGCCGAACTAGCCCCATAATAATCGAACCGAAAATAGATTTAGCTCCGAACCCCTGCATCGGCTCTAAAGAAAGTTTTGCTAAGATCCATTTTGTCCATTTCTTTCGAAATCCGTCTCTGGCCCCCGATTTTCCTTACATTCCTTCGCAAAACCCTAACCGCCCTCTCGACGACGATACCGTAGACACTCGTACAATCGCCGACTCGTTCGCTTTCCTATCAACAAAATGGGCAACGTAAGTTCATGTCTATTACAATAGCTCTACCTAGAAGAAGAACGTGAAGGACCACAAAAGTTAGCAGGGCAAGCGACTAGGCAATAAGTGACAGAAAAGGCGGGACGGCGAATTCCGAATACATACAAGATTTGCCCAACAACGATCACTGACAAACCTCGTAAATCAGGGAGCCAAGGCTGCGCAGAAGCGTGAGCGTAATGCGAAGGACACCAAGGTCGCCAAATCGCAGCTCAAGTCTGTAGGTCTTCGCCTCTCCTATACTCTATGCTCTTACACAAGAGGATATGTCGACTTACACGTAGCGTCTCGTAGAACGTCAAGGCTATGGATATCCAGTGCAATATTTGCAAATCGACCTTCCTAAAGACCACTCGTGCGCCCCAGTAAGTATACCATTCTTGAAGTCGCCTTAGAATCGCCTTTAGAATATGCGATTGTATAAGTACCTAGTCACATTCTCTCTGACACGCTCCACACAGGCTCACCGAGCACGCCGTCAACAAGCACAGCAAGACCATCGCCGAGTGCTTCCCCAGCTACGAAGTCCCGGCCGGCGGAAAATAAACCACAAGTCGCTCTATTCCGTACTCGCCTGGGCAGGTAGGTATAGAGACAACACCCATCCGAGCAGGTCGTGACAAGGGAGACAACGGGCATAGCGATTGGCGCACAACGGTGTTTAGCAGAATAAGGGTTGCATGAAGTTTTCACGAAAGGGGGGATCCGTCCGAAAGTAATGAGATTGATACGATGTTAACTGAGTTTATTTCATTTCTCTTTTCTTTTCTGTCGTTCGTTCAAGAATTGCTGTATGCTAGAAGGTAGAGAGCGCGCATCACCATCGTCAGTGTGCCTCAACCACTTGCGCCGGTGCACTCACATCCGCCACCGTCGTCGTAGCAGCCGTACTCTCGCCCCCTCCCCCATCCTTCCCCTGCCTCTGCGCCGCCTCCCTAGCCTGCTCCTCGCGTATATCCTTCAGAATCTCCGGATACCATCGCTCCCCCACATCCGGATGACTCTTAATCCTATTCCTCAGCGTAGCCTCTCCCAAAGTCCTCGCCACGCCGCCCTTCCTAAACGTAAACTCCACATCATCAAGCCTCCCCCCATTCTCCTCGAGCACCTTCTCGCGCAGCCTCCTAACGCCCTCGGGGACCGGACCCACGCCGACCTCCTCGAGCTCCTCGAACGTCGTGCTCGGCCGCACGCCCTGGAAGAAGGGGATAGAAAACCGGGCCCCGGCGCCGGCGGCAGGCGAAAGCACGCGGTGCGTGGTCGACGCGCAGACGCCGCGCGTCAGGGCCTCGAGGCCCTGGCCGATGGCCACGACGAGGGTGCGCGGCACGGGCGCGCAGTCGATCCAGCGCCCGCGCATGTTCTGCACCTGCAGCCCGCGGTGGTCGCTCGCCTGCAGCAGGTAGCTCGTCAGCATGCTGTCTTTATGGGGGCCGACGCCCTGGCCCTCCACCACTTCTCCGTTAAGCCCGAGCCCGAGCCCGAGCCCGAGCTCGGATACGTCCGGGTACTTGACGATCTTCAGCTTGTGCTGCTGGTCGGCGTCGAAGTAGCGGTCGAACGCGTCGGCGGGCAGCTCGATGGCCTCGGCGATTAGGGATGTGAATTCGAGGGATATGGCGCCCATGCGTTGCATGTATTCTGTGTACGCCTTGCGGAAGTTGGGGAGTACGGATTCGGAGGGCCATTGGTTCGGCGCTTGAAGGTTGGCGTAGAGCGGGGCGCCCGGGGGCGGGATCGGGTGGTCGGTCGAGAGGTCGATTTGCTCGCGGTGGTCGATCTTGCCTGCTGTGATCTCGGCCGAGAGCTGCGAGTACCCGAGGAAGGAGGGCGCGTTCTTCATTTCGATTTTGAGCCTGGGGGGTTTGACAGTGCGTGAGCTTGTGAGACGTTTTGTAGAGCATTTATTTGAAAAAAATTAGACGTAATCTACCGATATGCTCCGGTCTAGCATATGATATGTGCACCTCTGTATGAATACGGATATTTAGATGCTTGCAAGCACTTACTTCTCTTCCTTAGGTATGTCGAAGAAGGCCTTGCCTTCCGATATGACCTGATCCCATAATTCATCCGGAATGCCGACATTCTTAAGATACAGAAAGCCGACTTCCATCAAGGCATGTCGCAGATCGGCTAGGAACTGCGGCTTTGTCTGTGGATCTCTAGCCAGAGCCAGATCCAGGATCGGGACCGAGGTGAACGACATGGTCAGTATTTCATTTCAAGCGCATATATTCCTAAGAGCGCGTAGATACATAAGTATTTAGAATTTTAATTTGAGGGCATCGACGATCTAGTTGAATATATAGACATCTACAGGGCGTTGATTGATAAGTTGCATATCTCATGATGGAGGTCCACTTGTAGCGATGGCGTAATGCCGCTCGTCGGCATCGGCCGTCTAATGGGCCAATGAAGGCCCTCGATGATAAAGTTTCCCCAACTCCATAACTCGCGGGGACAAAAGGAAGTTTATGTAGGTCCTGATGCGCCTAGGAACTCTATCGAATAATGGGGTAACAGGTACATACCTACCTAGGTAGGTACATGGATATTCATGTATCGGTTGGATTGGCGCTTTCTTTCAGTGCAATCCACGAGCTGACAAAAGTATAGAGTTGGCGTATGGAATGATGTAAGGGGATATCGCGATAGGTACGTGAAATAACTTTTATATTCATATAGTCTTTCCTATGGCCGGTAGAATAGAGTCGTGATAGCGACCCTGACCGGGCATAGTGTCTTGTCTATGAAAACTTGCGCCGGATCCCTTTTTTCGCTATTCTGAACCAATCCGTATAATTCCATGCATACAGAGCTTTTTGTACAACGAGCGCCCCGATAATAGATCACAATAACTTTTAACTCAAGGCGGCGTAGGATATATAGGTTTATTCTGGCGAAGCCTTGATCGAACTCTCAAATGTACTGTGGGTATTTCCGCATCTCCTATACTTCACTGTCGTCGATTTTCCCAGCCATTCTCAACTACTCCAACTGGTCCCTAGAGCTATGGGCGTAATGCTGTCGTGAAGAAGTGGCGACACAGATACGAGTAGTCTCCGTAATGTGTGAATTATTAGTATCATCCGTAAGTTACGGCGTTCAAGCCGGTACAACTGAATTTGACGAGAATAGTTTTGTAACCTGGTAAAACATATCCTCGATCGGCGGCATAGCGAATGCCGGTGCGGTATCAAATAACTCTGCTAGCCTCTGTGGAGCGATAACAACGGGATAGGTGTCATCAGCTGTATCGTCTGGTCCATCGACGTCCATTTCGTCTCCGCTCGCTGGTCCGTCATCATCTCCGGTAAGTAATGCTAAAGTAGATCCGTCCTCTGTGCGTTCTTCGGTGTTCACTTGGTCAAGGTTGAGGTCGACGAGTGGTTGAGCAAAGGCGAGGGACTTGGTATCCATGCTTTCACTAACGGACCATAGCTGGGCAGCGGAATCTAGGACGATATATCCACTAGATCCAACTGCAGCAACAACTGATATTATTGGGTGTGGAAATTCGCGTATCATTTCCGGCTTACTTTGATCTGGCGTGAAAATAGCAAGTTCTGAGTGAATATATTGTGAATATGGCTTGCTCCGCGAAACAGCCACCGCGAAAGTTGAAGTCCGATAGTCGACCGCCATGTGCGTCAGAACGGAGGGACCTGGACCGTGGGGATCTTCGCTTGTCCTCAATTGAACTCCGTAGAGTAGCTCGTCAGAGACCAATTCGTAAACCATAAGACGATCCGAGAGCACAACCAAGGTCGAGGATAGAATCCTTATGTCCCGAATATCCCCTGCTATTAAACCGTCGATCGAATTCCGAACCTTACCAGATTCTGTGTCGATAATGTGAACAGTCGAGCCATGCATGGTCCCGATAGCGCAGACCAGAGTAGACCCATCTTCGGAGAAAGTGACCGCACCTGAGCCTCGTTGAAAAGCTTGGACAGCAATCGCATCTGGGTTGACTGGTTCTTCATTTTCTTGAAGGTATATGGGCCGAGAACATGTCCAACTATATAATTGGCGGTTCATCTTGCCCTTCACAAGTACTCCGTCGCGTTGTCTCACCATAGGCTCCCAAAGCCGGACAACTCCATCTTCCCCAACGCTGGCAAAACGGTGCGCATTCGGATCAGCAGCCAGGCCATATACGGGCTCACTTCGACCCGTATAATGTGGCGCATTAATACGAGATACAAGCTCTAGGCTCTGATCTTCTGGCGAAACGGCCCAGAATTTCAAGTATACCTCGCGCCGTTCGGCGGGTGCCCCTTCAAGAGAGTCGACATCTCGCGTAGGTGGTTGCCATTCATCCGTCGTAGCAAGCCATTTCCCATCTGCCGAATATGCCATATTGGTGATACGAGGTTCTGTTATCGTGTGCCCTTTGGCTGTCACGTTGTTATCCGTCGGGTTCGTTCTTGTTAGGGCCTGTTTCGAGACACCTTGCAAAGTGGTGAGGTCGACCGTTTGTATTAACGGAATTGATGGGCCACTTCGAGAATGGCTGATCTGCTGTCCGTTCCCTACACAAAAGTGAATTCGTGACGAGTCTGCCGGATTGATAGCTGCAGGAGTTTTCAATAACCGAGTCTGAGAATGTTGTCCAACCCTTCGGACCATATCATCTTTTGACAATGGCTGAGGATAGGTGAGGGCCTGTATCCCAGATATATACGTCGTAGGTTTCATCTCGGCCGTTGACAGGACGATAACCGAGTTGTCGTCTAAATGAACAACGTAAGCGGAGCCACGCTCCGAAACTACAATGTTCTCAATTGTTGCCGGGAGATGAGGTAAAAAGTCCATCTTCTGTGTGTCTAATTGCCAAAGGACCAAGGTCGACTCAGACCCTCCAGAGATAATGTAATTACCTATGACTAGAGTTAGAATTTTGACATTGAAGAAAACAAGAATAGTCTTTACCATCCCGTGACCATTTGATAGCATGGACTGCCTTGCGATGCCAGTGATATTTCCGGGGTTGGAGGGAAGTTCTGTGCCCCTTAGAGCTGTGTAGCCAGCGTAGTTGAAGTACAAGGTCGTTGTAGAAGAACACAGCTCCGCGAGCGCAGCCAACCGCGATTTCCACGACAGGTTCATTGCCAGCTTCTGTCTGGCTCTTTCGATTGAGATGTACACGATCTGTCACCCTCACATCTAAGCATGTGATCTCATCGCTGCCATTTAGAGTGAAGAATTCGTATTCTAATTCCTGCAAAGGAGCCGACGTAGAACTTCGCATGCCGAACAAGACATTCCGCTCTGATGAGGCGACTAAGGCATAGCCATTTCGAATAGATCGTAAATCCAAAATCGGTTCCGCCTGGGTTAAGAGAGTTTTATGGGAGACCAACTTAGACCCTTGAACATGGCAAGCAATAATTTGCCAGGTACCGCGCTTATCAATGGATACGAATGGCACATCTCGGAGTTTGGGGCCAGTCTTGACGGAATCGACGGACATATCGCCTAAAAGATCGCATTTCAGTTTGGATGCCGTCTCAGCTCCGTCACCATTTGTCCAGTCGATCAGCCATAGGTGACCTGCAGACGATGCGACCCATACGAGATTTGGTGAGCTAGGGGACAGGCAAATGGAAACAACCTGTTGCCCAACGGTCTCCTTTTCTAGCTGTGGCAGCGGAATCTTGCGTACCAAAAGGGATTCTACAGTCGAGTATATTTGGATAGAGGTGTTGTATGCGATTATCAGGTATCTGATGTGACTGTCAGCCTTCACGTCTACACTCGTCTATAGACTGGATTTGCCGGGCAGGTTCTCTGTAGCGCGTACTTTTCATCTTGGGTTAATATCGGGTCAATGTTCAGCATCCTTCCTCCCATAGGTTTGGAAACCTTCCATGTCGACAATTGGTCTTCGCTGGTCTGATCATGTTCTTCTGCTTTAGCTTGAAGCTGTTGCTTCTCCTTTTTCGCGATAGAGGCGTTGTCGGTTCTCGCATTAGGATTGTTCATGTTATCTAAGTCACCAGATGACGTATTTGAACCATTGACTCCATTGGCTCCGTCGACTTTGCCAGTTGTTGTTTCCTGCGACGGCTGGCCGTTGGCTGGGGCGCTCTTGGAAGTTCGACGATGGCGTTTTGCTCGTTTCCTTTTGCCATGCTCATCGGTCTCTCGTTTTCGTTTGTTCGCACTAGCATCCTAAGAGATGTGAGTTTATAGGATTAAAATTGTTTCCGATAGAGTTTCGCATACTTCTGCTGTTTCCACGGGAGCCATCTTGAGAGGCAACGGCGTAACTGTTATAAAACAGCTTTGAGTATCACCAAAATCTACCTTCCAAGAGTTGCAGGCTAAGCGCAAAAAGTTCACAAGTTTTTTGCGGGACGTTGCGATAAAGCACCCCGATAAGAAATTTTCGGGGGAGGAGCAATCCGAGGGTCCGGGTCCACATAAAAAGTACTAAAGTACGAAGGTACAAGGAAAGTCAATAAAGTCTTGGCATTCTTTTTCTAATCGATAAGAAAGCTGATCATTAATTTTCAATTCACGTCTCGCAACTAGCCACTAACCACACCATCCTTTCTTGCGACAACAACAACCTGCAGCACATCGCATAACCAACCACGCTTCGCGCATCGGCTCCCGATTTGGCAAAACAATCCCGACAAAAACAAAACAACCATCTACGAATAGTGATCCTTACCAGACAAGATGATTATTCCTATTCGCTGCTTTTCCTGCGGAAAGGTAGGCGTCGTCGCACCCCGCTACTTCAGATCTTCTTTGTATTAACCGAATCGCACACAGGTGACTGGTGACCTTTGGGAGCGATACCTCAAGTTGATCGATGAGGGCCATCAAGATGGGTTCGTTGCGAATATCCAAACTATTTTCGTCACACACTAACAAACCACCTAAGTGATGCTATGGACTCCCTAGGACTTAAGCGCTATTGCTGTCGTCGCATGATTATGACTCATGTCGACCTCATCGAGAAGCTGCTCAAGTAAGTTCTCGATAGATTCCGAATCCAATGATTGTAAATGTGGACAAAGTTCTAACAGGTCAAACCAGGTATACCCCCGACGGACGCAACGAGAAGAAGATCCAACTTCAGCAACGATAAGATTGATCGAATTTGGATATCCAGATACGAGTGGCGTTAACATGATTTGGTGGCGATGATTAGCACAAAATTGCATTCTCAGGCGTTGGGTTGGTACTTTCAGGAAGGCGTCTGAAGATCACTTTAAGTCATCGCAATGGTTTAGCCAGAGTACAATGTGAACAGTCTGCTTTACAAGAATGTAATGATATTTGTGCCGACGAATCCACGAGTCCGTCTACACACCTTTGCACAGGCCAAAGAAATGAACTTACTCGAGCTCGCTAGGTATGTCGGGTGCAGCTTGCGTGTAGTAGGCTACACATCCCTGGATTTCGAAGCATCGACTACCGCAGCGTGCTTAGCCGGTTTTCCGGCTTCATGCCTTATTTTGAGGTCCGGAAATCCCCTGGTTGTCTGTGATGATAACGAGGGTTGAAGTAATGACTCGGATGCTTTAACAAAACTCTAGGTAGTCATGGATCGAGATATAAGCCGCACAAGAAGAAGAAAAAGATGCATATTTGCTGCACGTATGATCTCGATTCGCGCTTAATAGTCGCGTAAACGCACGCTACGAGGATGTTGGCGGCGGCTAACAGCGACTTCGCTTCGGAGTTCCTATGTTTAGCATCCGCAAATAAATCACTCTCAAGCAAGGGGAAATAATTCTTCGTGACTTTTCCAAGCCCTTGGTATCGAAATCTGCATTGCTCGGAAATTAGCTAGGAGTCGGCGAACTTGTCAAGGGTTTTTTGTTGGAAAGGAAGGACATCTCTCAGCTGGGACTTCTTCCGATAAATTGGATGTGTGATATTGGCCACGTCAACTTACACAAGCAGTTCTCTCGTTGCCGCGAAGCGCCGTGCTGCACACAAATGGATCATTTGATATGCAATCGTTATGTTTACATGGAGCTCCTAGACATGCAGCTTAGAGGCTGTTCTTTTGATCGGTGTTGTATTCGACTTAGTGATTATATCTTTGCATTAAATAAGTACATGGTATCCTCATCGTTACCCCCTTAGAAAAGGCAAACGGCGTGATCTAACGCATAGTCAACCTACTTAGGTAAGGAGGCACTCTACTAGTAACATCTAGTAATACTCAAGGATTCTTATGCTGGGAACACACCAACAGGTACCCTGGGAGAAGTAGTTATAACATTTTCTCACATTTATATTATACGTAGTCGTGTTTAGCTAATAATTGTTGGTGTAGTCTGAGTATATCTACCTATGCAACTAGTACCATAACCGGAAACGCCACGCAAGACTCGTCTATAAATCCGGGGTGGATTTCGAATATAAGGTTCACCCGGTCTTTTTGCATGTCGGACTCTTTTCCAGGTTACTGGCATAGGATTTAAGCCTGATATGTAAAAATATGCAGGTATCACGGCGCGTATGCACACCTACCTACACCACGTTCTCGAGCTGTGTTCTGGAAACACGCCCCCAACGGATAAGCGAGAGTTGATCTCACATATGTTGGTGCATCCTTATCGACCTTGTTACGTAGATCGTGGTCTAGTATTTCGAATTCATCCCGCCTTGAATAATGCCATTGCTTATTTTCAAGGATAAAATCTCACGAGTTCTGCAATTACCAAGCGGTGTGTGTCACCAAGCCCCTTAATGAATCTGTTACTCCCAGTTTTTTATCTAGAATAATATCAACCGATGTACAATTCCAGTATGCCACAGCATTGAATGTACATGATATGACTTCGAGGATGTGACTTCCATAGTCGATTAGCCAATAGAATGATAAGATGTTTACCCCGGTGGAACCTGACTAGAATGGCCAGGATTAATTCGGGCAATCGGGTAACAGGAACCGGTCCGGAAATTTTTGGAAATTTCATCTGTTTAACATCTTTCTCTCTTCTAGTGATGAGAGGTAACGCTGAGGGGAAGTTGAGACACCCGCTCAATATTAAGGACACCATGTCTAACGAAATATCAATTGTCATGATATTCTACATTATGGCTAGCCAATGGCCGCTAGCATGAGAGTAAAATCGGCCGTATGGAAACTCGGCCCCCAAGTGGCATGAGAACGAAGCAAACTCGCCAGCCCTCGTGGGGACACTCAAGCGAGTGTAAAGAATCTAGTCTTACTCGGCCAGCTCAGCTTATTACACCAACTGGGTTTCTATTTCATGCTATCAATGCAATGATGCCAAAGGACTCGGGATGCCGAATCCGACAACGATCCTTAATGGTTATTCAAAAGATAGCTGGACTCCGGATATGCACCGTTAAGGTCACTACCCACTACCCACTGATCGGCCGAGACTGACAGGACTGACACACACCCTTTTGAGGTTCGCACACCAACAGCCTTCTAGGGCCCACATGGGTTGACCCAGTCAGCCCAGTTAGGGCTAATAAAAGGAGCGGTACCAGATCTTCGGGAACACCTTCGTGGTGGATTCCTCGAAGGATTGGTTCTTGCGATCTCCCATACGAAATACCCGCAACTCTTCGCACCGGCGTTTTCTTTTCAACCTCTTCTATCGTGTCCATGGACTTGGTACAGGCAACAACACATTATCAGGCCACTTGCACTTGAGCCGAAGTTGCTTCTGATCACGTTCAGACATCGTCGCTTGGCCGCTGATTTGGTCGTCAGTGATATCGAAATTACCTAAGTTTATCAGCTGTGTGGAATAGATGTTGCTATCGCGAGCTGAGACATTGGATCTCAAATTACCCAAAGGGAAAAGTCCCAGATTCATGTTCAGCCGTTGTGATTCAATGTGCAACTTTGCTTACGTCGAAGGAAACAAGAAGACAAGCAAGAATGTTTCCCGTTTCACTCAGCCTATGCTATCATGTCACTTAATCATTGGTTACAACATCCCGAACTGCTACGGTAAGTCTGGGGGTCTGTCGTGATCTTTTGCGCTTTTACACATTTTGCACTTTTTACCCCGGCATGTTCAGGTGAAAGTGGGTTAATAGCTCACTGCTAAGTCTTGGACAAGGGTCGACAGGGTGGAAGAAGCTCAGAGCTCGAAATGGCTTCGTATCACTCGTCGATTGAAGCGACCCATGTGTGGCTCTAAGCGCCGAAACCCCTGCTCGTCCCCCTGCAGCCCCCTCCGAAGTCTCTCCCTTGCTATCATCCTACTCGTCGAACGCTGCGCTCAAGTAGTAGTAAAGAGGTCAAGACGCGCATCTGCACGTTCTAGGATCTGTGGATGACCCATCGAGCGCAAAACTGATTGTTGCTAACTCAGAGTAAGCCATGTCCTGTGAATGATACCACTCGAAGAGATCGGATTGTACCCGAAGGATTTATCAATCAAGACGCAAAAGAGCCTCCGTACCACCAGGAGCTACCTATTAGGCAATAGAATAGCGAAGGCAGGAATCCTTCTCGTCAGTATTCTACCACGGTATCCTAATTACCCCATCTTTGCTTTTGCTTCCACTCTAGGCCACACCCTAGGTCCAGGTCGCGATACCACACATCCCACTCAATACGCTCCCGCCATCCGCCATCCGATTCCCTCGCTGCCCGCCGGTTCTCATATCCAACTCAACCTCGAAGGATTCATAGGGTAGCTAGCTCTACTACCTAGCGCACCTGTCTAGCCTTTGCTCTGCGGGTGAGCTCCACGTCTGCTATCCCTTTCGGGTTTCAGTGGAGCTCCCTTGGACGAATCTCAAAGCTCAACAACCTTCTCAGCCCCTCCTACATGAGCGCAACAATTCATTCAACCTAGCCCACCACGTTCTGCCCCTCCAGTCACGCCGAATTACCGTCCCGAAAGACAATACATACATACATCTAACCCTTCCGTCCCCTGTCTCGCTTCTACCGATCTTCCTTCCTGGAAACTGTGCGAGTGTTGGTCCTCAGCCGGTTAGGACGTCGCAATAGTCGATCAGTATAATACCGAGCAGTTAAGGATCGCTAGTATTCGATATTTTGCACCGCTTTTTCGTGGGGTCTCGTACTGGTCGATAAAGCAGGTTATACTCTACAGGAGGATACCTGGTTATCCTCCGGTCTTCTCGATTCGACCATCGTCAAGGCCCAGATCCGACCTGTGTTGTGGCCTTCTACGTGGCCTACATATTCATCGCGTCTGTATTAAGCGCGCCGCCCCATCGCTTTGCAGCCTTAGACACGCGATAGAATAAAAGAGCCGCTATCAAGCGCCCCCAAGGTTATTTCCCAAAACACCGCCCGACCTACATCGTGGCCGGTTCGTCTTAATTCTCCTAAGCTAGTCATGGCTCTCGAAGCTCCGTTGAGATCGTCAACCGGGAGTATAATATCTACTTTCTCGCCTCACATGGATGCATCTATGTCTTCGCCAGAGTCATCCTCTGCTCCTTACTCACAGTTTCGCCCAATGTCTGTCGCATACTACTTCCAACCTTCATAATTGGCGACATTCGCTAATAGGAAGTAGGTCTACCAGTGCCATAGAGTCCAATTCCCTACGGCCATCATCGGTGGCCCCTCGGCCCGCTTCCGCCAATAACTATCTCATGAGTCCGAGTGATATAGTCGGTCCTTCACCAGTCACATCTGTCGGAACAGAAGTGACAGAGATAGACGATGAGATGTCTGATGAGGTTCGATCCCAACCTACCGCAGCGAACCCTGATCCGCAACCTCAGGTTGGTTGGCTTGAAGATGGGAATGCGTTTGAAGCATTAATGCTGACCTAGAGCTAGCTTTTGATGCTTAGCACGAATGTCTCCGATCAAGTACGACAAACTGCAAATGAAGAGGCAGTATCAGTCATCCACGCGCCGGAAAGCTTCCAGAGTTGGGTGAGTTCTTGTTTGATGTTTAGTTGCGTCACACTCTCTCATCATTGCAGACTACCGCCGACAATTCACCAAGGCACTCGGAGTCAACCCAGAGGACATCGCCTTCTACTCCTCCCGCTAAGCCAGAGAATATACTTCTACCATCTAGTGGCGACTCGAGCTCAAAGGTAAGTCCCCAGACCATCGGACGATGATCGACATGTGAGGCTTACCGATGCAGACCAAGACTCCTGCCCTACCAACACCGCCTCCCCTCACAACAGACATCAAACCTATTAGGTACAGTCTCGAAAATGCAACGCCTAGGGCTCAAAATCTACAGGAAGTATTAAAGGACTCATCAAGAATACGGTCCAGTAGTGCTAGTAGCCTCGAATGTTAGTACGGCGGCTTTTTATATGCAGACATTATAACTAACAGTCTACAACAGTGATACCTGAAAGCAAGGAACCAGAAACAGATGCGGAACCCGACCTAGAAAGCTACGACGACGAGGAATTTGTGACGCCCGTTCGAGAGCAGGACGTGGATGATGTGGAAATCAGCTCTTTAAAGACTGCCTTACAGGAATGCTGGACCTTGTGCAATACGTTAGCCACTCTTAGTACGCACCACCGAGAAAGAGTGTTTAGTACGTCAGGAACTCCTGACGGCCATGAAAGAGCCTGGAAGTGCTGTTGGAAGTTGTGCCAGCGATTATACGACAGCCGTGATGAGCCTGATGAGTCCTTCAACGTTCGTCAAAACCTAGATCTTTGTCGGGATTTCTGTCAATCCCTCTTCGATATACGGCAACGCAAAGATGAAGTTGCGGATTCTGTTCTACGTGTGAGCTTCGAGCTCAACAACCAGTTAGTGGACTAATCATATTGTTAAGGGAGCGGCCATGCTAACAGTCATGATAGTCTCTACAGTGCCCAGGATAACCGAATCCTTCCAGAGGCATTTCGAGAGCGAACCCTAGACTTCTACATAACGCTGTGTCATAGGCTTATGAAGCAGCGTGGTGAACTGGGCGAAGAAACGGATTCGCTGCTCTCTGCCTGTTGGTCTCTTGCAGAAATGCTATTCAGCCTGCGGCAGAGCAAAAGGGACGGAAAGGCTCCGGATGAAGAACTACTCGGCTCGGCAGTCCAAGCATGTTGGGAGCTCTGCGACATATTTAGGGAAGGATGGACGCAGATCCGGCCGGATAGGGGGACGCCGCGTCCCAGCCAAACTAGCTTTTTCTCTTACAATCGAGAAAGGGAGGCAGCCGAGTTAACAGACGGTAGAGAAAGTCGAGCTTCGCAACGCTCAAAAGCCGGTAGCTTAAAGAACCATACCTCTCAAGGTGGAGGCAAAACGTCGCGAAAAATCCCCCCGGTACCCGAAACGCCCGTGACTGAATTCGAAGACACGCCCGTCTCTCCCGACGGCGAATCTCCACAAGTACCCAACATCCTGGTCCTTGGCACGGACAGCAATAGAGGCGGTCGATGGTCTAGCAGCGCCTCAAACTTATCCAGCTACTCCCAAAGCAGCCAACGTACATCCAGCACGGCTACTACAGCAACGACGAACGAGGACCCAAATATCACACGCATCAAAATCCTTATTCTCAAGGCCGCGATGAATATCGGCTTCTCGCGCGACGCTAGTGTAGACGGGCACCATCACAACGGCGGCGCGGCCTCTCTACAGGCTTTCGTTAAGGCGCTGCCTACGGGCTCCTTCGGCTCATTACCGGCGCATGCAGCGCTCCTAAAGAATTATAAGAATCTTGTGGTGGCCGATTCGGCGTTTAGGCAGGCATCATCACTACCGTCACGCGGGAAGCGCGCATTGGCAACCGACGTAGCGAACAGCGTGGGCTGGATGGTACACCGTTCTGGCCAGTACGGGTTCCTCCGCGACCTCTTTAAGCTGGTGTTCGGCTTCCACGTTGAGGAGGCGGAGGGGCGGAAGAATATTAGTATCGCGGTCTGATCCTAACTATTACGGTTCTCTATTACCTCCATTTGGCACGATTGATGAGGATGATTTGATGAGGTACATACACGCATGGAGAATCCGGGCCTGGGAAAATCTAAGGTTATCATTTGACGTCTCATTCATCACGATCGATCACGACATTTCGCTCAACGTACCACAATACAATACAACACACCACAAAACCAAACGCGATAGGGACGATTCCCAAGTCTAGGGACCGAGGCCCAAGGTTATGACATTTTTGTATCGGGTCATCTGAATTATCTGTGGAGGTTTTATTATTCATTTTTAATGTCTGCTAGGCCATCGGTGTCACGCTTTTTTTTTTCTCTCGCTTTTTTCGAGCCCTCGCTTTACGCTACTTTAAGATACCCCCCTTTTTCCTTATTCTCTCTAGCACGAGGATGATAGATCGACTGGCGGCGCTTGGGGCTTGGTGGAAGGGGAAGGGGATGGGGATGGAGATGGGCATGAAAAGAAAAGAAAAAGGGGAGAGAACGGAGAAGAGAACAGTTAAGGGATAAGCTGCTCGGTGATTTGATGAGATGAGACGTTTCTAACTCACGATACGATTGGCCATTTACCTTGGGTACCTATTGGGCAGGTACACGGGGAGTTAAGCTGGTGGACATACACCTACCTACCTACCTACCTACCTATATTTGCTATATTTTGATGGGTTATAGGTTATTATGATATGTGCAAAACGCGGCGACTTTAAAGAGTTTATAAGGCTTACGCCTAAGCAAGATAGGAGATAGGGAATTGAAATCGTTATTCTGCCACTTACTCCGTCGCGGACAATTTCATTGTTCCTAATCCCCCTCCTACAACATGGTCTACCCTAAGGGTTCCGATTCTCGAAGGTTATGGGTGCGAATATTGAATTTCTCTTGAGATCCTGAAAAAGGAGCAGCAAAGCACTGATCCCCTCGACGATTTACTAGGTTACCCGAGGGTGGGTGGGCGTCCAATATGGACTACAAATGAGTTACGATTACGACAAGCCTAACCTAGCAAATACGTCGCTCAACTAAACTCGCCCAAGTCTCAGATGGCATTCCCCTTGTCACAGGCAAATATGACCATCGGCCAAGTTTGGGGAAAAGCAGAAATTTAGTATTCATCCATCATAGCCTCTCCTATCATATATACGAACGGGAGAGAATCCCATGCCCATCGGTACCGCAAGATGGGAGGAAAGAAGATTGGCCAACTCGTTCATACTCAAGCTCTTCTTCTCATATAGTAAAATGTTTCAGTTGGTCCATCCGTTTTTTCCTTCGCCCTTTTCCCGTTACGCCGTCTCCATCGAGTATGACCTCCGCGGCCCCCGGAAAAGAGATAGGATAGAATGCACCAAGTCAACTTATCCTTCATGGTTCTCACCATTCTCCGTCCAGCCATAATTGTACCGCACTACTGTAATATCGTGTTGTAGCAGTCGTAAGCGGAGCAGTCGCATCACTTATTTGTCCTTACGGGTACCAGCGGGGGGCTGCGTCTCGCCGTACTTCTCGCATAGATCGTTATACTCGCGGCTCAAGCCCTCGGCCTGCTTGCGCAGAGTCTCGATGTCGCGGTCCTTCTTCTCAAGCTCGGTACGGAGGCGGGCGATCTCACCGGGCTTTCCGGCTGCGGCCAGCTTCTCAGATTCTTTAGTCTTGCGATCGGTGCCCTCGTACTGCTTGACCTTCTCTTCCAGGCGGAGCACTTCCAGAATCATGATGTAGGTGCGGTTAAGGATGAGCGACAGGAACAGAGTGAAGCCGCACAGGTACATGTTACGCTGGCTGTAGAACTTGCGGGCTTGGACTTCGAGGCGTTCGTGACCCATAACCGCCCTGTTGTGGGGGTGTCCGTTAGCATGATATGACATGTGTGGCTGGTGTTCAAGTATTATGGGTATGTATAAAGGGAGAGGGAGAGGGGAGTAATTGCGGGGAATATCGAGAGATGAGACTTACGCTGTGCCCTGTTTCGAGTCGGTAGCGGCGGCCAGTTCGAGTTGAACACGATAGACGCGGTTGACACTATCGAGGAAGAGAATCAAGATGAATACAAAGGTGATCTTAAGCCAGTATTGTAATTTGGCAACAATGGTGTTCTCGGAGAGGAAGCTGTAATATTCAACAATCCATCAGTTCCGAGCTCTATATCATCAATAGGAATTTTATTCGGTTGGATTAACATACGTGAACATCTTTCGCCGGATGGCAAAAGGCATTGGGACAACGAGGAACATAAAGAGTGACATCTCCGCCACCAGGAGTATGAAGACCTGATTATCCACTATTAGCAACGCTGTTAGGGACATTAGGAGCCCCATCTTGCTTGTAATGGTATTCGAAAGATGGGATTCTTCGGATGAAGATGCTGCAAGAAATCCGGACATACAAGTGTGTAATAGAGCGTCATCTTGAGAAAACACCAGTGGTGGTTCTAATTCTCGGGAGGTGTTCGTAGCTCGTGGAAGCGTCGGGAAAGAAGACGACGATGAATGCCGATGTGGTGCAGCAGTGCCCAAATGCGTTGTCAAAGAGGAATTGGACTCAAGATATGCAAGGTGAAGTCTTGCCTAACGTGTGAAAGGGCAAAACAGGAACCTAATGGCTTTATGATCTTGATTGTAAGTCAAAGGGTTCTTGGGGGTTTCGTTGTAATTATGAAGAAAGTCAAAGTTGTTGGAGGATCGAAGATGTGGCCTTGTCTCACGAGCTTGCAGAGGTAGTAGTTACCCGGAGCTGACCGCAGCAGTGCAAGCTGTGGTTGGTTAGTGGGGCTGAGTTAGGTAACACCCAGCTTAGCTGCTCTGACAGTCTGAATGCTTGGGAAGTCAACTACGTCAGCTCCGCACAGGGAAGGAGATCCACGGATGACGTCGCAGTGACACAACCAATTAAGCTAGATCCACTTATGTAATCAACTTTAATCGCAACCCTGTCAACCTGTACCTGCACGTTTCTACTATTTGATGTACCAGACTTAACATCTTTTGATTGGAGTGTCATGAATTCGGATAATATACAGATTACTTTCGTTGCTTCATTCTATTCCATTCATTCATTGGAAGTGATTTACCTACTATAACGATTGTAACTGCGTAACAGCTCTGGCCCTATCGTCCATCGCGTGACAGCCTGGCCTAACAAGATCCTGCGATCTGTCCTATTGCAATATCAGGCCATTGGGGCTGCGTGTATGCCGCATTCACCAAACTAATATCAAATGAGTCATTCACAACCGTATTATTTACGTTGCCATGTTTTGTGTCTACCTATCTACCAGCAAAGCTACACACTAGAACAGACATCTGTCCTCAAAGTCAACGATTGCAACGTTATACGATGACAAAAGTACATCGCCCCTAGATATAGAATGCCTGTTTATCCCTCAGCCTCTATCTCGTAGCTATTGGACTTGTGCTTCGGCTGAAACTTGAAACTCGGATGAGCAGGGCCGAGGAACATCTCGCTATCTCGGGTGTTAGCTAATACCAAGAAAGGGAAAACAAAAATAAGGACATACCTAATCTTCAGCCAGTCTTTATAGTTATCACTGGCAAGAAGAGTCTCGAGATCGTTCCGTCCCTGGTATCTCGGTGGCCGGTCGTTGAGACTAGGAGGTAGATGCTCCAAAATGCCAATTGGCACGTAACGATGTGTGAAGCTTAACCACTCCAATAAGAATCGTCTTGTGAAACCCAATCCCATCTCATCCGAGCCCCACGCTTCTAGTCCGTAACGTACAAACTTTTCAATGTAGCCTAGTCGTTCAGACGCAGACTTGTCCAGATATTGTCCCTTCTCGATCTCTTCGAAGAGCCATGGTTTGACCATAGCGCCTCGCGCGATCATGACTGAATCAACACCGGCATTGTCGATATGGTCGAAATATTCCACGTGAGAATAGCAATCACCGTTGCCGATGAAGTAAATCTTTTCGTCGGCGGTATTCGCCTGGGTGCTCTGATCTGCTTCATTAGCAGTGTCCGTCAGCTCGTCCTTCTTGTCCTTATACGACTTAATCAAGGCCGAGCATTCAGCAATGTAGGACCAGTTAGCACTTTTCGTGTATCGCTGTTGTCTGCTTCGTCCGTGTAATGTGATTGCCGCGCATCCCGGTGCTCCTAATCTACTACGTGTATCGGATCCGCCAAAGGCAAGCCTCTCAATAAGTTTGTCCGCTGTTGCTTTATCATCTCGGACACCAGTTCGTAGCTTAGCCGTTATAGGCACTTCTCCGGAGACGACATTCATGCCTCGAACCATTTTCTCCAGTTTGCTAGGTGTGTCAAGAAGACCGGAACCAGCACCCGCCTTATAGACCAAATCGATGGGACATCCACAATTCAGATCGACCACTCGGAGATGGGGAAGGAATCGAGTCAAAGCCTCAGTTGTCTTCATCACCACCCATGGCTGGTTGCCCGAGATCTGAGCACCGAACTTGAGATCTTTCGCGTTGTCGTAACCCTTTACCACTGTGTCTCTACCAGAGGTGAATCGTGGGGGAGCAATTTCGGACTCATGAGCCTTCATAAGTGCCCATTCTCCCTTTTGCCCCTGGACGAGTGGCATCCCCATAGCCATTTCTGAATACGTGACTTGAGCTCCAAGTTCCACACAGAGTCGTCGAAATGGTAGATTTCCTTGTGTAGTCAAGGGTGCAAGGACCGGTGTCTCCTTTCCGAAATAGATCTTTCTCTTCTCTGATGGCTTGAGCGGCGGATCAACAAACTGAGCTCTGATTTCTTCTCGATTGATAGCATTTGCTTCCTCACTTCCTTGATCCTTGGCGTGGTGGAATTTTCTCGTGATGTCCGTGTCCTTTTCCAACCATTTGATGTAAGGTTCAGACTTCTCAAAATTGACCTTTCTCCTGGCTAAATCCCATTTGGTATCAGTAGATACAACATTAACGACGCCTGGTCTCTGATCAGGGTCTTCGTTAGTGTCCACAGCGTCGGAGTTTTGAAGAACGAGTTCTTTTCGTCCATCTTCTCTCTCTATTTCTTCGGAGTGGCTCTTCACAAACCGGCACTTCCACCCTGCAGTGCATCTACCGTACTTCTCGAAAACGGGACATTTGCCATCTAGAGTGTCGAGGTCTTCACGTCGGCCCTCCTTGAGATATTTGCGTAGGTCATGGCACATATTGCATCTCTCGCCGAATTTGCATGTCTTAGGTGAGAATTCGTTGCTGTACGTCACGCTATTGCATAGTCGTATAGCATCTTCGAAGTGGCCGTAGTTACGATTCTGATTTTGACCGCCTTGCTTCTTTCGGTTCTTGCCTCTCTTGCTGTCACCATCCCGAGGATCTGACTTGCCGCCGGCTCTGTCATCTATAGCAGTGCCAGCTTCTGCCGCATCATCATCCACGATCTTAAGTGGTTCATCCGATGAGACCAGGAATCTAATAGAATTGTTAGTCCTAAACTAAAAGTATGTAAATTACTCCAAATGGGGAGTAGTCTCACTCGGCTTTGACGGGCGCAATGCCTCGAACCCTTTCTTTCGGTTGTGACTGTCGGGTTTCCTGTTTCACCTCTTCATGGTCAAGCTTTTGTCTCTTAGGTGCGGGACCGTCAGTCGTGACGATGTCTAATGAGTTGTCAACATGAAGATCGGAATTGGATGTATGCTTAAAGGACTTTTCCGAAGCATCTATGGTTCCTGCTGCTTTTTTATCCTCAGTAATATCATCTCCCGCCATTTTGGGCAGTTAATTCTGAATATATGAAATTTCTGAAGTTTTTTTGCGTGGTAAATTTTATCGTTATACAACTGTACTTTGTACTCCGTCTAGCGCATCTAGAAAAAGCGTTTGATAGACAGGTACGTACCTACGTATCTTACTGCGTAGAGCCCCGCGCTTAAATTGGTAACTGCCCCGCCATAAAAACCGCTACTAATTGTCCCTATCAAACTTCCCAGTTCTTAACAGCAGTCAGATCCTCACACCTTTAGGAAAACATAAAAATCGGAACTACCTGGTTCACTCAATTGGACTTATGGATTGTGTTTAATTACTTTTTCAAACGGGGGGTATTTCGTGGCTCAGGTCATCGGACACAGCTGTCTCCGAACTGGGGATTTTGGGTTCGCTTAGGTACTACGCCTCCTTATGTGGGACAAGAAGAAACCATTTCGGATTTTACGAATAGGGAGGCATTCCCAGAGTTTCTGCACGCATAAGGTCTTTCGGTTTGCGAGTCAAAGGCACTTCCATTTCTTCTCCTGAAACTCTACGGTATTTTCCACGGTTAGCTTATTCCTCCAAAGTCGTCTATATGTGGTTCACGGGATCACCGAACAGCTTGACAACAATATGGACGATTCTCATACCTATCATAGGAGATAAAGTCGAATAATATGTAAGGGACCTTCGAAGCATAGGTAGGTAGGCATCCGATCGAATCACCTTTGCATTAGGTAATATGACTAGTTTCGGAAAGAATTCCTATTGGTCTTGAATAGGCTGCAGAAGTGAAGATCCCTCTCTGCTCTTTCAATAATGGCGTTCCGAATAAGTAGTATCATCGAGAGAGTGTGATTGATAAGTGCGCCTCTTTCTCACGATATATTCGAGCGTTGAATCTTCTGGCAGTGATTATTATTATCATATACCCAGGTATAGTATATCGATGTCAATCTGTGATCTATAATATTTAAGCTTGTTAAGATCGATATTCAGGTCAGATGACATTAATACGATGTGCTATGCTAACCATTTTCCACACTTGTCTAGTGCTGTTACTTTGACGTATGCAGTCATGCGGCGCGGGAAAGAGGTTCATGTTGAATCTCAACTTTTCAACTATTCTAGCTGCGTCGCATTTAAATTGCCGGCAGAAAACCCAGAACCAGGTCTATTTAAGTTCTGTCACGATCATGAGCTCGGAAGGATTGCCTTTGCATGTTGATAGAATCCTAAGGCCGCCTATCTCTATTTCATACCTATAATCCCAAATGTTATATTCGTGATCGAACACTGGAACCCTGAACTACCTAGTACCCATGCCATACCTATATGAGCGCGCAGGTGCGTAAACAGGCTTTCAACTAAGCCCAGTTACAGCACTTTACCTACCTATGTCAAGACTTCGGTACGGAAGAACCCGAGATCAATTCAGGTACCTACTGCGATACTGCATCACACGTACCATAAAATGTCACCGCCTAGTGATCACTAATTCGTACCTGCCTTCCCAGGGACATGATCATCAATCAATATTCCCTGCCATGCAAGTGTAAAGTGTAAAATGCGGCTTCTAATGACTTTCCCTGACTCCCAGGGCGGTGGCACGCTATCACGGGCAGCTACTGGTTAGTTAACGCAAATTGAATGCTTACATAACCTGCAATTATAGAGCGGGCCGGGGGCCGCTATAGACCGTTATATGTAACCCAGCCTGCCCAGCGTAACCCAAGCTAAGGCGGGGAAGGTGCGGGATTGGTTGAAAACGACAATTTGTTCTAATAAAGTTTCCGAAAGGTTGACAGTCACTTTTCTTCCCTGCTACAAATGCAACAACCGCTACAACCTACAACCTACAACCTCTCTTTTTAGAAAAGTGCCCAATTTCATGCAGGGGCTTGTTGAAGCGAGGGATTGCCCGCGTGGCCTGTCAACACTTTGACCTTGAACCTTTTTGTATTAGAACGAACTATTAATCACTATCCTACCGTCATCATCCTATATTCCCTACCACCCATGTTGTTAACCTTTTGTTGACCCTTCGTATTACCTTTAAGCTATTTGCAAACACCCTCAAATCCAAACACCATTTCTGACAACCTGACTTACCTAACTTACCTACCTAACCTATCCGAGCCTAGGTTGTTTACATCTTAATTTCTTACCTCTATGTTCTGAACTTGGAAAGACAGGTATCCCCATGCCCTTGCGCGACTCCTCCATTGATTACCGAGGGACTGGTTAGATGGTTAACTTTGGCAATTAACCGTGTGATATCCATGATACATAGTTTGGCAGGCCATAACTAAATTAAGAGGCGAAAAAGCTTTGGGTGCGGAACGTTAGGTACATAGGCCATGTGCTTCGAGCCTAGGTCTCTCCCCTAAACGAAACAATGGCCGAGAACCCACGACCGCCCACCGCAAATAGCAACAAGTCTAGGACCATCCGATCTCAAAAGATCGCGCCTTCTTCCTCCGATGCCGTTAGTATAAGCGAGCGCAACGAGTCTTTAGATCGAGTCCCTCCTCCCACTACCCGAAGTCATACCCCAGGCCACCTTGCGTCCAAGAGCCAAGGCGGCTCATCCAGTAGACGCAAGGCTTCCGAGCCATCTATACGGTCGCGTTCTCAATCTGTCACCTCGAAATCTGCCACATATGCCTCTCCACCTCCCCAGACGGCCCCGACGCCTATCCCTACTCTTACTCTGCGGCGCCATGGGGAGCATAACAACCCCGTCCCGACCGATCCGCAGGCCGGATCTTCCACTAGCCTAGATGCCGACGCACGGCGGCCGACGGCCATGCGTTCGACATCGGCCATCGCAGGTCGGGCCACAACTATGAGCGGGGCCTCGGGAATCTCGGGGACCTCCCGCAAGTCGTCCGGCCCTCCACGGCCGCGAGGTCCCCACGTACCCTTCCCGCCTCTCCAAGACCCGAAGACGGCACCCGACGTGCCCGCTGCGCCCTCGTCCGGCATGTATTGGTCCCGGGCACCTGTGTCCGGAGCTCCCCACACGCCCCTCCGCGCGCACACGACAACGCTCGTAGGAAGCAACGTATACGTGTTCGGGGGCTGTGACTCGCGCGCCTGCTTCAATGAGCTATACGTATTAGACATGGACTCGTTCCATTGGAGTAGTCCTCATGTAGCTGGCGATGTGCCCGTCCCGCTCCGCGCTATGACGTGTACGGCCGTCGGTAAGAAATTGGTGGTGTTTGGTGGCGGCGATGGCCCCGCCTATTACAACGATGTTTACGTATTAGATACGGTGAACTTCCGGTGGCATCGGCCACGAATTGTGGGAGACCGAACGCCGAGCGCGCGGCGAGCGCACACGGCTTGCCTTTACAAAAATGGTATTTACATGTTTGGAGGCGGCGACGGTGTGCGTGCCCTGAACGACATCTGGAGGTTGGATGTGACGGACCCTCACAAGATGAGCTGGAAAATGGTGTCGGGGCCCTCAACGGGCTCATCCAGCGGTACAAATGGTAGCACCCCTGCTAGAGACGTCAATAAGCCCAAAGCGCGGGGCTACCACACGGCCAACATGGTGGGCAGCAAGCTGATCATCTACGGCGGCTCAGACGGCGGCGAGTGCTTTAATGACGTATGGGTATACGACGTGGATACGCACGCGTGGAAGGCGGTGCACATCCCCGTCACGTTCCGACGACTGTCGCACACATCGACGATCGTCGGATCGTACCTCTTTGTGATCGGCGGCCACGACGGCAACGAGTACTCTAACGATGTACTACTGCTTAACTTGGTGACCATGACTTGGGACAAGAGGAGGGTGTACGGCCTGCCCCCGAGCGGACGCGGGTACCACGGCACCGTGCTTTATGATAGCAGGCTTGTCGTCATAGGTGGTTTCGACGGTAGCGAGGTCTTCAGCGATGTCTGGATTCTGGAATTAGCTGTTCATGCGTACTATTCGCAGATCAGCCATTTTACTATCGAGGTCTGAGGATATCTATCTATCTAGGTCATCTACTTCCCTACCTACCTTGGCATTTTAACAATCATATTTGGGGCATCGGTGATAGGCTGGTTGCTACGCACGTTGGACTCGATTAGGAGGTAAACTAGGCTTACCTACCCAATAACCGCATAGGTATCGCATACACACACGAGAACGAAGGCCAGGGAGGTAATCTTTGCTTTGCTTTATTTTAGCGAAAACCGTTGGTCTTTCAGGGCTTTTCGGGTTTGGGGTGTGGCGGATATAAAAGGGGGTTCTAGGACCGGGGGGGTGGAAATTTTGGAGGTTTTTATATCTCGAAAGCACGGGCTGGATATGAACGAACAAGGTCACGGGATGACGATTACAGGAGTCTTGTATCTAGCGACCTAGGAACGTAATGTTTGGTTGATCTATGGATGGATGTGTTGTAATATATTAAAAGCACGATGCATTCGTCTATCATGAACCATTTTACCGCCCTTTGAATCCTTCACCCCTGGATCGCCGCTGTCTATGTAATCCGCGGTACTTGGGTCCGATCCCTCTTCCGATATTTCGTGGTTGCGGTTGAGAGAAATGTAGGAATCGTGATCAGAAACCTTGATGGCTTGAATCTCGTCTACCAAAAGCAAAGGAAGTAACAATACTTTCTTGCTCGTCTTTGCTTTTGGTGAGGGGTCGTTTTTGTACACGAATTGAAGTCGACCCGATGAGAAGAGAGGAAGAGAACAACTTTTTAAAATTCGATATGAAGCCCAACCGCGTGAAGCAGTCCCAAACTCCGGTACAATGATCTAAGAGAAATATGCAGGTGATTAAACATGTGGAATCGAGGACGTATGAACGTCAAACCCCTCTATCCCCCATTCTATTCCCGCGAAAGAGGGTTTCGACTGGCCTAGTAGTCCAGACTATTCTTTTCGTTAAGATATTATGTCTCCTCCCACTGTCCCCCTCTGCTCTAGTGACCAGTACGTAAAGACTATGCAACCATCTATTTCTGCGCCCTTTGCGCCTTCTGCTCCTTCAACCGCTTCTCCTCAGCGGCCACCATATCCTTCCACAAGTCCTGGCCCTCGTACTCCTCCTTGTGGACCTTCTTCTCGATCAAATGCTTCTGCTCGGGGTCATCCGGATCAATAACTTTGATAGTCTCCCACCGTCCGGTACCACTCTTCGCATCCGCGGTCTCGAAAACCGCGCTAGCAACCAAGACGGCAAGCGTCAGTCCCTGCGCGTACACACGGGCCTGGACGAGCTTCTGACTGGTAGTAAGATACTTGTTCCGACCGACGATCCCCAAAGCAATGCCCATGGCGGCGACCCAGGACGCGAAGACGATGGAGTACCGGTTCTCGCGGCCCCACGCGGTGAAGCGCTGCCAGCTGGTCTCGCTCTGGCGGATCAGCTCGGCGGTGCGCTGCGCCTCGTCGACGTAGAAGTTCATCGGGTTGTTGCGGCGGTGGAACTCGTTCGAGTACCGCTCCGCGTTGACGATGGCGCCGAAGGTGCCCGTCGACGTGACGAGGAAGGCGCGGAAGGGGACCGTCAGCGACCGGAAGGACGGGTACCGCCGCGACGCGAAGATCACGCCTGCTACGCCCGCCGTGAGCCCCAGGGACCCGCCGATGAAGCCCCCGCGCAGGACTTGCCCGTAGTGCGCTTGCTCTTCTTCTTTCGAGATCACTTTCATGGTTGCGGGGTGGTGGGGGTGGAGGACCCGGCTAAATATGCGTGGGCGGTGGTTCAGATGAGGTTGAGGGTTGAGGTGAGTGGAATTGGTGGTTGTTTGGCGGGGTGTTAAATCAGTTTGTTGTCCGGCTTAGTATGACTCTTCGTGGATTCCGTGCGACGGTAAGATGGATATTCGGCGGTCTTGAGGGGATTACGTCTTTGTATTACAGCTGTTGTGTCCTGTTTTTGTGTTTCTATAGTAGGCACGTGGTCGTATGGAAAGTGAGTAATATTGTAATATTCGAGGTATGTCGGGTATCTAATCGGAGTAGTTAATTGGTCGGATTGTTTCTTGGCTTGGTGTCTAATGTCTGATGTCTGTCTGACGTCGCAAATTGCAATTGTCAATTATCACCAGGTCGCCACGCAGGATATTTATTATTCTGGGTTCCTTTAGGAATTGGAAATCAATCACAAAGAGAAGCGTTGTATAAAGTTCAATTATTTCCCCGGTCGGGATTTCAAGGGCAATGGCGGTGGTTCTTAGTAACACCAGTGTCAAATTGACGATGTTTTCCCAAGGCGGCGCATGGAGAAAATCGGAAAAAAATTACATGATGTAATCCACCTTTGAAGGTGGCACGTTTAGCGAGTCTGGTACGATGCGAGTCCAGTGGTTCTATCGCCAGGGAAGACCCCGAACTATTCCCGAATCGTGGCTGGTGAAACTGTGGCTTTCGCAGGAGTTTGTCGGGATCCTCCCAAGGTTTACAAGGCTAGAATGCAAATGGCGGGGCAGTAACGGACAACTAAGCCACACCTAAACTTCATAAGGGAAAAGCTAACCGCCGCTACTCGCCGTTTGCTCCCGGTTACACAATGGAGTTCGGGGTTTGGGGGGGTTTTAGCTTTCCAGGCTTTCGTAATGGGAAACAAAAAAACAAAAAAAGACTCGGCGTCTTCCGTCTCCGCCACTGTTGTATTCCCAATCACCACAGAAACACTACAGGAAGCATATGTGCGCCTGATGCCCTACACCTACCGCTATATCCTAGCTGCCTTAAGCCCTATGCCCTATCCCCTTCAAATTCGGTCGCTGGGATTTCCTAAATTCGGCCACGGTCGAATTTTGGGTTATAGTCGGCGGTGCGGCGTGTGGTTCTGGAGATTCAAGGCATTCCATCCGGAATTGTTAATCCGAGTAGGACTTTACACGGGCTTGGTTCAAACAGAGTTCCCATGATGATCACGACCTTCGATCATAACTTTGGGTCATATCGTATAATGAGCATGAAGAAGCCCGAGGATTCATCCTCATACTTGCTCAAAGTTGAATGAGAGAACGACTCTAAAATTACAGAAACGCCGTGTCTAGGCGGACCACCGGCTCAAATATCGGAGCTTACGATCCAGTGATCACTTTCCTCTACGATCACAGGGTCGCATCCTATCACGTGCCACGATCCTTCTTGGTGAGTTCTCTTGTCAGCTCCGTTTCTAATGCGTCGGTGATGTCTTGGCTCAGCCAGGGCTGCTCGGGAAGAACGCATGAGTTGCCGGGAGCACGCAGGGAACGTTTCATGAATGGTAAGGCTCGGTTAAAGCTGACGCGACCTTACCTGTGAAAGCCAAGCCAACTATTCTGGAAGCAGTTAGGTGATGGAATTTGCAGAATCATGCATACCATACATCTCAATCGTCATGGCCGTTGCCATCCGTACCTTGTCTAGCTGTCTCCAAGACCGTATTGCGCCTCATCGAGAGACTAACACACTGATATACTCAATTACTTACCTTGATCATTACCGACCGAAGGGACCGAGAGTGGCGATTCAGGTAGTCAAGATCACATTAATAGGATATTAAGGCCCATGAGATCTGTTAAGATCAGGGAGCCAAGTCACGCTGATTCTCTTTCGGGAATGTACCTGCAATATCACGTCTGCGTTAAGGAGCTGAGAAGGAACACTTGATCCGAACGGTTCACAGAGCGATCCAAGGTGGTGGCCGAGATGGGGCTGCTCCAGGATGATCGATCATAATTTCCCAAACGAACCGTCGCCGTGGTAGTCGTCGGACCCAACTCCGAAAGGGTATCCATCGAGACTGCACATGGTTCTGATGGTGTGGCTCTTAGTACTGTGTTTTAACGCGGCTCGGAGATGAAAGTCTGACATCTAAACATGGCATTTGCTAAACTGCTAAACCGGCACTTAGACGGCAGCTTGTGTGTATGTAATAAGTTGCCACTAGCCGTGAAAACCGGCTCTGCGTGTTGGCTAGCACATGGTAGCTAGAGATGGCGTCTCCGGCATTAGGAATACACGATGGCAATGTTCTAACCGATCCTGCCCATCCCGTCTCTACATAGTAGCATAGTTTCTGCGGGTCGATCTGTTTAGTGAGTTGCTTGGCCGCATGGCACGAGGGATTGGGCAGTTTGGAAAGTGGGAAAAGTGGGAAAGGTCCAAACGACGGATTTCCATTAAAGAAAAAAAATCGAGATTGCATGTGGATTGCTTTGCTTGTGAAGTTCACGATGACACCGGACCAGGGGAGATTTAGTCTCTTAACCCCCACCCCTGCAAGGTCCAAGGGATGGGGAATGTGAAAAGTGGGGACGAGATTTCTCTTTGTGGACATCTCTAATTCAGGGTCCAAGTACGCTAGCGCATATCATTAAAAGACAAGCGCCTTGCGACGATCGTGGCAGCGTGGGTATGTATGTACTAGGCGTGGTGGGTTTGCCTTTTAGTGCGTGCCTCGAGCGCCATCCATCGCTCGTCGGCGTGCCGTACCCAGGGGAGAGGATCAGCAAAGTAAGAAGGCATTAGACGATATTAGACGACGTTTTTTCATTGGTAGGATTCGATACGGCAGTTCGATCTCCTATAGGCGACCGGTTGCTAAAAAGCGGTGAACGTCCTTGCTGAAGTGTCATGTTTTCCCGTACGTGCGTAGCAGAAATGGTGACCTCACTTGGTAAATTGCAACTCTGTCTGGGGATGCTGGTTGATGCTGAGGTCAGATTGTTATTTAAAGGAGTATAGAATATTACACATCACCTTCACGTCCAATCGGTATAGAACAGTTGTGAGATGTGCATAGGGGTAATCGGGATTATGGTATAAGTGACCAATGGCATATTAGCAATTTGGCTTGCGTGGTCGCCTAGCAGATATCCGATGAGTAGTTGTTCCCGTGGGAGTGACATCAAAATCAAGTGAATAGATCGAAAAGTTCACGATCATCGATATCGTCGATTGGCATCGTGGACACATCTGCTCAAGCCTTCAATTTCGTCATAATAGCGGAACTATGTATCATTGGTCGCGGGGCAGTTGGGAAGGTTAAATGCTAGTTCACACGAAGACCTTAAATTGCCTTGGAAACCCGGATTTAGATCGAAGATCAGAGATTCTAGACTGATATATTCGCAGCTCGTAAACTTATTTAGGAGATAGTGAAGCCACGAACGCGAAATGATGTCGCGCGTAAGACTTACGACGACTCACGACTGACGACTGACGATGAGGCGTTGAGTATGGGGTTAAACAACATCGATTTCGTGCATGTCGAATACTCCGCACTTGCATCGACTAGAAGGTGCTAAGATATCAGGCATGGGTATCATTCGTTCACTTTTAAGCATGGAGATATACCACGCAGTAGCGGAGATTCGATGTGAAGTAAGCCAAATATTAGCATCACACCTCATCGTCATATGCGAACGCGCTATGCGTTATTCTGAGGGGGGTTGGGAAAGATAGGGGAAAGCGGTGACAGATATTCGCGGATGGATGTCATTTGTGGTTTGCTGAGGCCTTCACGTCCAGCAAATAGAAAATTGCCGAAGCCGAAGAATCGGTAACTCATTTCTTTTTTCAGCTCGGCGTCGTCGTAAGGCTTCCGACGAACAAGTAAATTGACGCACGAGCTGAATCTCGAAAAGAAAAAGAAGGTCAAGAGGCCAAACAGGGGGCGGGCGCATGACCCAGCCCTGAATTGCCCTGTACATATAGGCCCTGTGTTTCAAGCATTGCCTGCCTGTTTAGGCAATTGGTCTTCGAGGCCGATGTTTGTATGTATGTATGTCGAGGGCGATGGTAGTTTGCGCAAAAGAGCATACAGCCTAGAAGCCAAGCTAGGAACTCAACAACTTCTGGCTTCGCTGGCTGGCTGGTTATCCATTACCTGGCCGAATAGGGATGTTTGCGACGACTTGTGTCCCCGGTTCGTGTAACTAAGTGAAACCAATGAGAAGATCCAGCGAACCGAGTACGGCATCTGATGCGGTATCCGAGGGCTTACGAAGCATTCGGATTCCGAATAAGCTTGGTAGTGAATATGGGGTGTAAGCCGGATGCTCAGATGTCCAAGACGCGCACCAACGGGACTGGATTCCCTCGGCTTACGGGGACCATCGAATAAGGATGTCAGCGCGTATCGGGATTATTAGTACAAAGGCAGTAGTGGCGTCCGAGAGGCTCTTGGATTTGATTCACCAAGTGGCGTCGGGATAGTCGATAGCCACATGTGATTATCATTCGCCGGGAAGCCGGGTACGTATGCATGAGTCAGGGCAACATCTAGCGAATGGGACATGGACTTAGACATATGTACATAGAAGGGTTGTGGGCATAGACGGCTATCATGGAGGGAACTCTAGAACATAGGGATGTAGATATCCTTGGACGTATGTAGGTAAGGCTCTATCCCCGTATCTTGCTTCTTTTGACAGGACGGCCCAGGACGGTCTGCACCTAGGCACGGCCTGCAGCTGATAAAGGGAGAGAGACATACATTATTAGACCAAGAAACATAATTCCCGATTGCGTTGGCCGTCCAAGTACGAATATGTATGCATGCTGCGGTGCCGCACGAGTAATAAGTCTCCCATGCAACCACTTAAATTAAGACTAAGGTTACCTACTGGTGGCCGCATCGTGTGGCAATCCGTGCGTGAGAATGAGCTTATTCAATTCCATCCGTCCTTCGAGTCATACGCATGCCAGGTCTGCCAGGTCTGCCAGGTATACTGCCCGTCATCTTGTGCCTCCAACCCCTCCAGTCTACTCCTGCTTGCTTACTACCACCGTTTTCACATGACGGCCAATCAGTGCCGGGATAATGATTATCATGGCTGAGACTCGAGGCTGGGTAGCCTTGTCTAGAACGGATTTATTTGTCTCTGAGGTTGTACGAACAGGAAGGGTTGTATGACAAACAGCAACTAAACTAGGATCTCTTTAGCCTTTAACAATGATATCCATCGATGTTATGCATGCCAACTAGTCCACTTATGGCATATAGGGACTATGACGCACGAGCATGACATCAAATTTGGTGGCCCGTCAAGCGTTTAAGCACAAGTCGCGCACAGGGAAAAAAGACAAGGGGAGCAGGGGGAGGAGAGACAGTTGGGAGGGTTTGGTATCATCATTCCCCAGATTCTAGGATCAACAGATCCGA